GGCTATGAGATTGCAGACCCATCTGCCCTGGTTAGCCACGTGTACAAGCTCATGTCTAAGGAGCTTGGTGTGAATCCAGATGCTCCGCTGAAGGAGATTGAGGTGCCTGAAGACGAAGAGGAACCTGAAGAGGAGGACAAGGATGATGGTGATGAGGGCGAAGATGATGCCAAGGAAGAAAAGGAGGATTTGTAGATGGAGTCTTCATTTGTCCACTGAGCCCTGGAGATGGGAACAGGAGGACCTGCAAGTGACTGGTGAGAGATATTCGATTTGGCTTCAGCAACCAACACTTGGTACTCATTATATAATGATAATGATTGGTTGATTTCAACAAGCTCTCACATTGCAGACGGTGAAACAAATGCGAAACGTAGCATTTGTGAAACACACCGAACACCTCATCGACTCATCAATTTTGGGCTGTTCCAGTCAATTCGATGTATATAGAGTCTCCAACCGAGAGATAAGAGACCTCCCACTGGGAACTAAACAGAATGGCTCATGCCAGAAAGAAATGATGCACTTGTCCAAGTCTCTTTTTCTTTGTAGATGCCAGGGCATGCATCCGTTAACATTTTTGTCCCGACTTGAAAAGGTATATGTGCAGACTCTTTAGCTCAGAAATCTTCAAATACAAGAACCATGCATTGTGCTGAAGCAGTGTCCCAATCCGAGAAAGGTCCTAGCAGGCGCCCGAAGGTTGTGGTAGGGTCTTCTAAGAATTCTGAGACTCCACGTGTTGCTTACGCGGCGTGGCCTTAAATTCATTCGTTCGACACTTGGATCTCGGATCCTCGGTGGCTAGTAGTCGACTCAGTTCGTGAGACATTTTTGTTCCAAAGAATGCCAGACAACTTGATGCACTTGATGTTTGTGATTTTTAAAGCAGCTCTGCGATATTTTCTCGAAGGCGATGGGCAACAAGAACTCGGCCTTTGAGACCAAGCTGAAAGCAAAGGCGCGAAGGTCGTTTGCGCGAGATACAGCATGAGAATGTATGAGATATGAGGTGAAGTAAAAGCTTGTGAGAAATGAATCAGATCTAAGTCAACAAGTCAGATCCAGTTCCAAACCTGGATAGCTGATTGGCTCTAGACTTTTTGGATACTCATGGCTTTTCCCGAATGCGTAGCGAAGGGTTCTTGTTTAACTTGGGAGTCTGAGGGTAGAGCTGTGTTTGCCCGACGTTGTTTTCGAGTTCGCAACCGTTTGCAACCGTCTGCAACCGTCCGCAACCGTCCGTATGATGTCTCTATGGCCCTGCCATTGGGGGAAGCTTTTGCAAGTGACTTTTCATGGATGTGGCACGTGTCAGTTTGCACCGCGATTACATTGTGATTTGCATGAAAGTGACATGTCGCGCAAGAAATGTGATGCATTTCGCTGCACAGGCGCAGGGCGTGAAAGTGACACGTTTGTGTCGGTATTCCATTGGGATTAGCGTTTGGAGAGTCGTGTTTTTGGGGTGTTGGATGTGGCCGTGCCATTGGGATTTGCGTTTCAGGGTGTGGCATCGAAGCTCTGTTTTCGTGACAAGTCTCAGCTGAAATGGCGATTTTGGTGGATGCGAGTGTGCTCAGAACGGGTCGAAATCATTCCAAACGTGTGGTTTGGTGCAAATTTTGTTGAAGCTCACATGCGATGATATCGTCACTTTTCGTGGCAGGCGCAGTACTTTGTGCGGGTTTTGAAGCGTGGAAGTGCGATTCTCGTGGCAGGCACAGGGAATCGTGAGGTTGCGAGGTGTGACGGAGGTGACATTTCGTGGCAGGCGCAGTACTTTGCGCGCGTTAGACGTGTGGACGCGGAAAGATTTGTGGCAGGCACAGGGATCGGGAGGTTGTGAGTTGTGGTTGAGGTGAATGTCGCTGTCACATTGGGATTGGCGTGTGAGCGGGTGTTGTTTGGGGGGCTGGAATCGCGAAACTGCTTGGCAGGGCTGCGTGATGTGTGTGCTCCGATGGGTGTTTCCGCGTGACTTTTGGAGGAAGTCTCGCACGAAACGCTCGTTTTGCAGACTTTGACGTGTGAGTTTTTGAGGAAGTCTCGTACGACGAAACGCTCGTTTTGGAGACTTGACGTGTGACTTTTGGAGGAAGTCTCGTGCGCGTGACTTTTGGAGGAAGTCTCGTACGAAACGCTCGTCTTGCAGCCTCGAGGCCTGACTTTTGGAGGAAGTCTCGTACGAAACGCTCGCATGACTGCTTCTAGTGTCCAGCAAGAGTGTCTAGCAAAGAGTGTCCAGCAAGAGTGTCTAGCAGAGTGTCAAGCAAGAGTGTCTAGCAAAGAGTGCCCAGCAAGAGTGCCAAGCAAGAGTGTCAAGCAAGAGTGTCTAGCAAAGAGTGTCCAGCAAAGAGTGTCCAGCAAAGAGTGTCAAGAAAGATTGTCTAGCAAAGAGTGTCAAGAGAGAGTGTCAAGCAAGAGTGTCCAGCAAGAGTGTCTAGCAGAGTGTCAATCAAGAGTGTCCAGCAAGAGTGTCAAGCAAGAGTGTCAAGCAAGAGTGTCAAGAGAAAGTGTCAAGAAAGATTGTCCAGCAAAGAGTGTCAAAAAAGAGTGTCAAGCAAGAGTGTCATGTCAAGAGTGTCCAGCAGGAGTGTGAAGCAAGAGTGTCCAGCAAGAGTGTCAAGCAAGATTGTCAAGAAAGATTGTCTAGCAAAGAGTGTCAAGCAAGAGTGTCCAGCAAGAGTGTCTAGCAGAGTGTCCTGCCCAGCGAGAGTGTCCAGCAAGAGTGTCTAGCAAAGAG